ATGGTTTCATGAGAGCATTGATAATATAGCCGTTAAATATTGTTACAATACGTTTATTATGTATAGCACCTTCCAATCGTGTGAACTCTCCAACCGGCTCAATCCAATAAATATAAGACCTTATTACCTTACAGTTCACCGGCACTCTGTCTTCATTTCCACACATCCGAACCAGCATGTCATTCATATACAATCCACAATATTCCACAGAAACACTATATAATATTTCACATGTATATCGACACGGTCACACTAGAAAGCACATGATCACACCACATCTACATTATTTATCAGACGATAGGTTATCGGTAATCACTTGGATTCGGCGTATGGTTATCACCAAGTAGCAACGTGGTCGAGGCACTCAAGCTTGGAGGTGGGGACGTTTGCGCGTCCGCAAGTCTCACACGCGACTGCCTCGCAGCTAAGCTCTTATCGTTTGTAGGTCAACCGGTAGCCAACATCAACGATTATATCTTCAAACATTACAATATCAAACGTTTACATAGATGACGTTCTTGTGAAAGTTTCAGATTTGTCTATTGTGTAAATTCTTCAAATATTTGCTTACACCAAATATATTTTTAGATAAAATAATGAGGGCTGCTGTTTTCTAAGCTCCGTTTAATTGTTTATGTAATTAACTCGATCACGTAATGATTTTACATCATAATCATCAACAGCCTTTACTAGTCCACTGCTGGTCATAGGCCTCTCCTTAGAAAGGAGGGTTTGGCCTACTACACCACGCTGGCCGGACGAGTTGATATAGGGTTTGTTTTAAGTTTTCCTTCTCTTTGCAGTGATGTTGTCCTACGTAGTTTGTTCCCTCAGCCGGCTCTTACGGCACCCACTGGATGAATTGAATGATTTTACATACGTTTGTATTTTCTAACGTTTGAATCTGTGAACTCATACCTAAACTTATTACGTGATCCCATTAATTCCCGCATATTTTCATAATTATACATCATGGAATGCAAAGGTTTAGAAACAAGTCTTAAATAAGTCTGGCAGTCAACAGACAGCGAAAACAAAATTTTGATTTTACATGTTTATTAACACCTTGTTTGTGTCCTCAAACTTGTCCAATTACTGACAACAGCAGCACATTTATACTTAATTAATTGGAAAAAAAAACCCTGTTTAGTTTATCGATAATCTTTTCTGTACTCTGTTGTATAAGCTGCGGTTAGATTGGCATTCAAATCGGTCATTAATGGCTCTCCTTTATAAATTATTCAACTATGATCTCAGATGTTATCAATGTTCAATAAATACAAAACAACTTTTTTCATCAGTTCAGTGAATTGTTTAAATAATGTGTAGTAATTAAATTATGACGTTTTTATTAGATTTATTTACTACCTAAGACGGCAATTAATCGGTCTTTATGCAAATCTAATGTCGTTTTATTGTTGTTATTTAAGTTGACTCTATCACGAAAAATGTAGACAGTAATTGTGATTTATATAACAATTATGGTGTTTTTATTCTACCAAAAAACAAAATTAGGATGAATAGAGGAATTGAAGACAATGAGGAAAAACAGGTAATTAAATTTTATGACATTAAATCACGCGTCACTTGGCACCGTTTGTACTTCGCCAGATTAAGATTCTCTTACCTACCCCATACTTAAAAAGGCAGTTTTAAAGAAATTCTCTTATTTAATATTTTTTACTACTATTTTCAGCAATAAGAAGCCTTTTCTAAAGCAAGTCTTTCCATCAAGAGGTGAAGATGTAGAAGGTTCAAGGAAGGTACTAGATATTTTATTTTAATATAAAGATTTCACTATTTTGTAAACGCTAAGACAACCTTAATTCATATTAATTTTCAATTAAAATATTAGACTCCAATTTCCATTTATCAGCATCAAAGATTCTATAGCTTAAAAGACGACAGTAACACAGGGGGGGGGGGGAGTTAGCCAACTGTTACTCGTCTAAAACTGTCAGCTTTAGACTAGAAAAAGCCGGTTTACTCAACATCATTCGTCGAATGAAACCCAGAACCAATGACATAGTCATAAACTTTGTATCATATTTCGTCAAAATCAACATGACCTAGTGACCTTATGTTTTTATATAACACCACAGTTAAGAGCTCAACTTTTGTATTATAATCATGTTGTTATTAACATTCAACTTTTGACCTCCGAACCGAAATTTAAATGTGATCAACTCAATTACCTACTTTGTCCTTATTCCTTTCGGAACAGACACGGGGCACAGTGACAACATGCCTTAATCTACACTTAAGAGCTTGTTCTGTGTTCTTGTTACTTAGATTACAACAAGTATTAACAGACTAGTAATAGTAAATATAATATTGTTTTCATACGGTATAATTCTGCTTAATCTCATTGCCGTTGGCCCTAGTACTGAAACAACTAGTCTAAGTCTGGTACGCAGTGGGCAGTGGCAGATTTGAAATACATATTTCAAATCTGCCACTGCATAATATATTGTAAACAAGACTGATCTTGCGTTCAGAAATCTTAGTGTGTTTACTAGAGAAACAGTATAAAGTCTAGATCGAGTCATTACATCAGGTGAACAGTGATTCGAGGTCGAGATTAAATATTAATCTTTTACACAATTATTTGTCATCATCACTTGATTCTGTTTCGGGCCAAATCTAGACGTAGCAGCAGGGTCGTGTCACATTAGGAAATATTTTGTGAACTCTAGACATTTGAATGTCTCATAACTATCATCACTAGTGATGAGTAAATAACGCAAGCTAATGGACTGGACAAACGCAACAGCCAGAGTAAATATGCCATTATAAAATATTTACTCATCACACACACAAACCACGATTATTGCTGTCTCGTTCTCTCAACATGTGTCAAAGTAGATAGTTATACAATCTGCTAATCCTAATCCAGCTTTGCTACCCTTACGAAGTCTCAGCGGATTGCTAGGTTAATTTGACTTGACACATTTGACACTCGACTGTCTCACCCAAAACTAGGCAGAGCCTGTACTATACTAATAAACACCCTCCTGTTTCCAAATACCTAAATACCCATATTACGAATAAATTAGACGTTGACACTAAAGAAATGAACGCAGTCATCATGCAATAAATTTTCTGTCGAACCCAGGACTTGACTTAGTGTTGGATATAGACCACTACTTATTTCAGCCATCATAGTACACGGTCCTCCAACCTGCCGCACCTTTTTAAGGTCATCTGTCTAATATCTTTCGTTATTCGATTGCGGTCTCCACTTTGGGACATTTTTGCTCCAACGATCTTCAGTCGGCAGACTTGAGAAGAGTACATACTGATCGTGATTTCAAACAGTCTGTACATTACAATTCTTACCGCAAAATACTATTTCTAGCCATCACGCTACTGCCGTTTCAGTTTTAATTATGCTATTATTTGCTTAAAATTGCACTTAAAACGAATCGTATACAGCTCCAAGTGGGTTACTAAGAAATTAAACTCCTGTCAATCGCTAGCCTTTATTATAATGATCAGTTCCACTGAAGGCGTCTGTGTAGCAGGAAATTAATGAATAATTAAATTATAAACTGATCATTGAACGTCGTCACGATAAATAGTTATTAACTTACAGCGTTCTTCTTGGATATGTTACAGTCAAAGCTACTAATCTGGCAAAACATAATTGGTCAGTCCTAGTACTTTAGATTTAAAATGTTCTTTAATAGTGATTTTTTTATTTTTTGATATTGGGGGATAATCTTTTGATATCTGATGATAAGGAATTTCCGCTGCCGATTGACACCTATAAGCGAAGAGTCACAGGTATGCCTTTTCTTATTAGAAAGTTGTTTAATTCCGGCAATCATGCAGGCTTTGATTGGCAAGAAGTTTTGGGAAAAGCGCATAGTAGCAGGGTATGATTTTTTTTTTTACCAAGTCAAGAATGTAAATAATATAACTAATCGTGGCTGATTAGACATTTAAGCAGTTCCATATGATAAAGGTAATTAATTAATAATTAGTCAAAATTATTGTTGTCAAGAGCCAGCAGTACTGATTTTAGTTTAGACTGCAACATATGCAATGGAACTAGATCAAATAAATGTTACAAGGTAAAAGAACACGATTGACGATAGTACTTAAATGAATTCTAATGATCAATATCTAATATTTACAACTACTTTCCTGTATACACGGAGTGAGTAGTGGTTTAAGTGTTGTGGGTCCGATCCCCACATGGGACGATACTTTGTGTGATCCACAAATAGAGTCTGGGTGTTCTTTACCTCCGTTTCATGTATGATTATAAAGTCCCCCGCGACACAGGATATATTCCTAATGCGGTAGTTGTCTTTTTTTTAAAACAAAAAGAAAACTAAGTACAGGATAATCTTTGTAAACGAAGCTAAAACGCGCTAGCTACATAAGGAGATTGACAGACTGATTATGACATAACTTCATAGTTGTAAATCATATACAAAATGTAACCAAAACCTTATTCTTATTGTGCATTTTTTTAAGGAGTTGACAAGAGTAATGAACACATGGGTAACACAAAAGCGCTCTCTTAAGATTGTAAGTTCGCCTAAGTGAAACCTAACAAATCATACTTACGATGAACCTGTCGGGTCTGAAAATAGTCTTGCAAATACACACATGTGAAACCAAACATTCTTTATAATTATGATCCATATTTAGGTACCACAGAGGCTGAACTCCTTTACATAGCATAATGCAAAGTAGCTTCAAGCCGTCTGTACACTTAGATCATTGAAACTCCTTAACGGATTTTAATGCGGTTTTCTTCAATAGACAGAGTTATTCAAGAGGAAGGTTTATACTCGTATGTATAATACGTGCAGATTATGGTGAAATCAATCCCAGAATTTCATGGATTTGTAAAGTGTGTAAATAATAATAACACATTTTTATTAATCACTCCACACTGCCACCACTGTAGTCTTTACATTGTACCCGTGCGAGTACTAGTACAATAATAAACAAAGGATATCTTAACTAACACATTAAAGACTTACCTGATAGGTATTCCATTGCTGCACCAGATGATGATGGCAGGCTGCGCACGCTCGGACGGTTCCCTGCGCATCTTTGGGCCGCGACCGAGGCGGTCGAGGGTGCTGCTCGCCGAATATAGGAAAATACGCTTGCTTATTCTGAAATACAAAGAGATTATTCTTGAGATGTTATTGCAATCGATAATGGTGGGATGGTATTATGTATAACTAATTGAAACCTAGTGTTTCTATTTGATTTGGCTTTTGGGCCCGTGGCTAAGTGGTAACCGAGAAGTTTAACACATTGCATAGTTAAGCAATCCTAGCCAGGTCAGACTATAGATGGGTGACCATTCTGACGACCGAATGGCGTAGTGGTATGTGTAATGGACTGCTATTCCGAGGGTCGCGGGTTCGATTCCCGCTCAAGTCAAGCATTTGTGTGCATGAACATTAAATGTTTGATTTGGTCTGGGTGTTTCTATGTATAATATGTATGTATTTACAAAAAAAAAAGTAAATATGTATTTATATCAGTTGTCTAGTACCTATAGTACAAGCTCTGCTTAGTTTGGGACTAGATGGCGTTGTGTGAATGTAGTAGAATATTATTATTATTATTATTCTTAACGCATTAAGACGAGACGACGACGTCTTGGGTGCTTCGGAAAGCACGTTAAGCCGTCGGTACCGGTTGCCATACGAACAATCGTTACGTGTGGTTAGAACCCCTAAAATGTCCGACAACCGTCTTCTTACAGGTCCGACTCGTGACTCGACGTAAAAAATAGAGGTTCCGCCGTATCGTAATACGCTTAAAGCCAACCCCAATATGGTAAGGGAAAAAGGCCCGGATGAAAAAGTGTTTCTTTTAGAATTGGTAAGAGGTTTCGGCTTTTAAAAATCCACATGTTCAATTGATCTGAAATTTGGTGTACGGTTTGATGGTATTTCCACGACATGGTAACCTGGAACTTGATGCTGTATCAAGTAGTCTGCGGAATAGCCAACTTCTCAGAAAATTACAGCATATATATCATGTTTGGGCTTTATACTGTTTTTTTTTTGTTGTCTCCCGACACGAAAGTTTTAATATTGTGTTATCCTAGAAGGCTTGCGTATAAAATGCGTGGGAACAAAATTATTTAGTAGCAAAAATGTGGGCATTTAATATGAATCCGCTTACGCTTAGGCTCCCTATGCCATAAAAAAAAAGCATACTGCCTTAGAGTAAAGACTACTGTTGGGACTACAAAACAACTAATAATAATCAAAATCCACGTGTAAGTAAAGTGGGTGTGGTACCTTGCTAAGTAATACAAACAGAATTATCCGATATTGATGTTATCGTAATACCGATCGCCAATTATTTAAATAATCTGTAAAGAGCTCTAATAGAGTTATTTACATTGAGCCTGGATATAAATATCCAAGTTACAACAATACCAAGTTGAAGATATTACATTAGAACGTGGTCTCTAATTGTCTATTTAATAGTATGTACTGTCGTATTAGCAGCACGACATCACATCAACAGTCTAAAACAGTCCACTGCTGGACATAGGCCTCTCCTTAAAAAGGAGGTTTTGGCCTACTATACCACGCTGGCCAGACGGGTTGATATAGGGTTTGTTTCAGTTTTCTTCTCTTTGTAGTGTTGTTGTTCTCTGTAGTTTGCTCGACGCAGCAGCACGACATATTTATTAGTTATAACGTACGAGTGAAGTTTAAGGAATCAAACTTATTTACATGACGTTGGCGATAACCTAATATCCCGTGATTTTAACGTTTATATGTTTACGTTTACATTATAAATAAAAACGAAATTTTGTGTAGTGTTAGGCGTATTACTTGAGAACAGTTAAGACGGATTTGGCTATTTCTTCTTTGGGAGGTTAAGGAATTTAGAGAAACAAATAGAAATATTGTGTCCTGTTGTGTTGTGTGTGCGCAACTTTATTTGCCATTTGCGCAATGTGTAATAACAAGGTTTTAATCTGATTTCGTTTATGACAAGCCGCACCTGCCTGAAATTTTCGATTCTGGTTTGGGAATGTAATCGTTTACAGAGAAGAAAACGGAAGAAAAGGGAAGAAGAGGTAAGGAGTTTAGGTTATACATTTTTAGTACAATTATTTTAAGTTAGAAGTTAATAGGCCTTCATTATGAAGTATTCAACTCGAGAGCCAAAAGGACCCCCCACACGGTTACGATGCGCTTTATAGGCTCCTTGTATATTTTATTGTACTTGGTTTGTATCCTTTATTTATCGCTAATATTAACATATACAATTAAAAATACCCCCATCGTGTTAATGACAGATCAAAGAGGTGCTGATTGTTCAATGTATGAAAGTCTCCAATAGACCAGATAGATAGATAGACTTTATAATGAAATATCTGATGATATTACTAAAAGTGATAGCTTGTTTAAATTTAAAAAAGTTTAGGAGATTACATTAGGATAAAGTACCAATGAAGTTGTCTTTATATCTTTAGTTTTATATTACTGTAATAGTGTATTGTGATCACAGATATACTTAACTAATTTATTGTGTTGTTACATTTTCTCATTATGTAAGTGAACTGTATTGTTCTTTTTATGAGAAATAAATGTTTTTAAACCGAAACCGAGACCGAACAGGATTCTGTTCTAGAAATTTCTAGGACTCTAAATAAAAACATGTATAAAATTTAGACAAGTTGCTCCGTATACACGAATATCACTAAATCGGTGTTGTATACAAGTCAATCACAGCTAAATTATTTAATATTAATTATGTCTGCGAGTGTCTAATGGCTGCACAAAGTTTAGGGGTTAAACTGTACATTATGATAAAGGCGGTGCGAGGCCAACATGATATTTACTAATATAAATAATTAATGTATTTCGGATCCACTCGTGTATCAAATGAATATAAAAATGTATAATATATAGAGTTGACTAGCTGACCCGCGCTTAAGTCTCTCAAAAGGAATAAATTTGCACCGTTTTTGTAACATTTTCATTGATGTTCGGCTCCTATGGATCGTAGCGTGATGTTATATACATATGGCCTCCCTTGATAAATGTATTCAACACTGAAATAACTTTTCTATTTGAACCACTAATTACGGAGATTAGCTCGTTCAACCAAATAAACAGACTCTTTAACTTTGTAATATTAGTATACGAGTAGATAGGAATTTTTCTCAACTGCTTTTCAATATTTGGCTTCATAACTATCTGGAAAAAGTAAACCGACTTCATGTATTAATGACACTCAACGATCAAGTTTATCACCAAATCATCATAGACTGGTCCCATTTAGTACCTCACTCACTGTAGTATAATATATGTAAATATTGCGGGTCTTATGCGAACAGCGTAGCGTACACATTGTGGTGCGTGTGGTGACTTGTGATCACGTATTGGAAACACTGAGTGTCACCACCCGTATTCATCCCAAGGATGTCGTAAGAGTCGACTAAGGGAGCAAAATACGCAGGACAGCAGCACTGCTGGAATAGTAGGCCAAAATCTCCTTCCTATGAAGAGGCCTTTGTCTTGCGGTGGACTATTAAAGGTTGTTGATGATGATGACACATTGTGGTGGGACAATCCTCCCATACGGTAGATAAAGTAGACCCAGACAAAGAACAAATGACGGTTCTCATCACACAATTACTTGTTCTGGGTGGTAATTGAAACTAACTTATGGCGTAGCAGTCAGGGTCACTAACCACTGGACCGACAGGCAAGCCAGTATATATATAGGTACAGGGCGGTACAAAGCTTATCACATAAAATAACAGATTACACGGTTCAATATACATCGGTTAAAATGAAAACAAACAATTAGTACGAAATTATAGAAATGCAAGTTCATTTCATTTTACAAAATAAAATTAGCGGGTCTCGTTACAACACGAAGTCTTGCGCACATGATAACATTGTCGTGTATTATGACGAAAGCAATAAGACTAAACAATTATTAATACAACAAAACTTTTAAGAATAAATATGTCACGCAAAACAACAATATTATTATTACGATAATTTGTTGTGAGCGCATCTACAAGGACACAGAACAGCATAACACTCAGCGATTCGCGGTGGTCCAAGGGCCGACTAACTGTACTTACTGGATGAACTAATTAATAACGCGTGTCCTTCATCCTGATGACGCAATAATCAACTTATTTCGTTCGATTCGAGTGTAGTAAAAGCGGCAACGTGTGATTACCGCGCCGCGTATACAGCTAATCGCCGACTGTGATCAATGTATTATGACTACATTTACACATGATGTTGCAAGTTACGAAAACAAACAAAATGTCCTGTTTCTATACCACTGAATATTTTTTGTTCATATTTTGCAAATCGTCTAGAAATAAAGTGCAGAATATGTGGTTTACAGATTCGTCAAAAGAAAAAAAACACACGTTTTATATATATATGTGTAGATAAACCATTCAAATAAAGGATGAGGAAAGTATAACTCATTATCCTAAAAATATTGATAATAGAAGATAAAACGCAGTGATACATCAAAACACTACGCAATAATCGCATGGCGCTATCTTGACCTAATTACTTGTCAAACAATGTGTTATTTTTATGTGAATACTTTTAACGAAGGTCACACGTTACAATATTTTTTAAATAACAAATGATACGGGCGCATCAAAAAATTCGGGCGCATCAGATATTTTGGGGATATGTTATAGAACGCCTAAAATGCTACCATTCAAAGGTCTGACGATTTTCAAGTGACACAAGCTGGTAGCGAATTATCGAAAATGCAAACTGCAAATTTAAAAAATCGCCGTGTCGAAATACCCGACCGTGCTAGATTTTATACAGACGGTTCAGCTTGATGTTCCTGTCATACTAGCCAAATATCTGACGATAATTTTGCAGAGTATTATAAATCTGACGGTTTGAAATATTGTGATTTTTTATAAAATGTGACAAATAAAGGCAAAGACACGTAAAATTATGTTAAGTCTTTAAGTCCCTCTCTCAGAATCCGAGGTTTGGGCTCCGGTACCCTCCCTCACTCGGTGAAAAACAACGAAAAACTACTTAACACCGGTTTTCTCTGAGGCCGTCGCAACAACCCGGGCGAGTCAGCCGGCGTCAATAATAACTTCAGACATATAACACACGGCTGTCTG